AGAACTAATGGGTCAAAGATAAAGATATTTTCAAACTTTTTATATGACCTAACAAGTTACCTTTCAGCAAAATTGTCATCAATTTACATTCTTACCCAAGTCACACCCCAAAATAATGGATCTGAATTCTCACCACCATCCAATATTATCATTATATTCCAAAATAGGTGGCTTTTTTGATCTTTTCAAAATGGTATTTCAGTGTTGTTTCAGCTTGCATTTCTTGGAATCCAGTGAACTACAGTACTGGTTCATGTTTTATTGGTGATTTGAGTTTTCTGTGGACTCATGTTGGTTCATATCCTTTTTCTGCTTTTCTGACTCTGGTTATTGTTTTCATTGACTTAAAAATATTTCCAAATATACTTTTTCTAGTTGAACTTTAAGTTGCTTTCTGTACTAATTAATATGTTGCAGTAAAATCTGTTATCATGCTTGAGATCCTTTCTCATAGTACTGGTGACATAAGGCAATGATTTTGAAAGTGGAAGATTTTCTGTCAAAACCTGAAGGTCCAAACTTCCAAGAAGTGAACAATCTATGAATTTTTAGGAGAGGGAGAGGAAAGTCAAGTACCACGAGATTGATAAGCATTAAATCTTTTGCATGAACAAAAAGTACAGGTGTGGGTTATAGGATAAATACTGCAGTGCAGTCACGCTCCCTTATTCACCATGAGATCATTTCCTGTTGCTGTTGTGTAGGCAGAAGGTGAATGAAGGACTACATGAGGAGATGTGCAAAGCCGTTCTGGGGTTCCTGCATTTAGCACCTCAGGTAAGTATTGCTGTGATGAGTGATTCCATAGAGGCCACCCCCGGAAGTCATGGGCATGGGGTGTGGTGAAGGCCCCACCATCGGTGGTTGTGGAATCTGCGTTCCTCTACGAGACATCACCTTCCCCCAGGGTGTCACACCCCCTCGGCATTCTCAGTGTCTACCAGGACACGAAGCCAAGTAAGAAAATGTCTTGCCTGTGGGAGAATTTCAGAGCCATAGGACATCCTCATGTGAAGCCAAGTAAGAAAATGTCTTGCCTGTGGGAGAATTTCAGAGCCAGAGGACATCCTCATGGCTCCCCGACATGCAGGGAGCCAGGGAAATGCAGCCCTTCCTCCCGCTGATGGGGGAAATGTGACTGTGTTGGGTGACTCCCAGGAACGTCCAGCCACACAATCTCCTTTCCCCTAAGCAGGAGGAGATTGAATATAGGGGATTGGAAACTGAGTCTCTTGGTGGGAAGTAAAGGTCAGGCGGGGCTGTCAACCTCTACCCATGATACTCCCCAAGAACCCCTGGAGCCCAGAACCACAGGTGAGCATCCTGCTCCACCTGCTGACACTCATGTGTCTGTGCCCAGCTGCTGCCAAGAGGAGTGCCTGGAGCCCACCGCTCTGTGCCAGGTTTCCCTGCTCTGTGTTCTGGCAGCACAGTGCTCCTTTGTGTTGATGGAGAAATTTCTAGCAGCTTCTCTCTGTAGATTTTGTAACACTCTTTGGTGACATAGTTTCACACATGTGAAAGTTGCCTGTACTAGTTGGCGGGAGCTGCCTTAGCAGAATGGCCCCAGGTGGGTGATGTCATATTCAGCCAAGTATTGTCTCCTGGTTCTGGAGACAGGCCTGGTTCCTCCCCAGGGCTGCGAGGAAAGTCCATTCCTGACCCCTCTCTGCACCTGGAGCAGGTGGTGCCTCAGCCATGTGTCTGCACATGGTCTCTGTGCCTGTCCATGTCCAAATTCCCCTGTTCATGGGGACACTGGACACATGGGATCAGGACTCATGCTTATCTAGTTACATCTGCAAGAATGCAATTTCCAAATAAGGACTCAGTCTGTAGTGTTGGGGCTTGGTCAGTAGCAACAACAGATCACACCACATTCTGTTATGACATGAGCTTTTCACCAGAAGTCTGCTCAAAGGCAGATGCTAAGGAGTAACTTGGATGCTCCTCCCCTTGGAATTGGGGTGTCATGTCCCTCTCCCCTAGAATTGTAACACTCCTCTCTCTACCTCCCCATCCACTCCTGCCATGGGAAGTGAAGCAGCTTTTCCTACTGGAGATTTTGAGACACAAGGAACTATGCTCAGCCTGCTGTGGGCGCCACCTTCCTGCAGAGAAGGGCCTTGCTAGCCAGGAGTGGTCAGGTACCCCCAGAGGTTATTAGTGCTGTCTGGGGTGGGGTGCTAATGATCAACCAGCCACCTGCTCACACACCTGAGCCATGGTCTGTGATTAATCAGGAAGAAGTGTGTCTGTCAGTGTTCCAATGGACGTATACAACATAACCAGGCTATGAGCTGAATGTTGGTGAACCCACAGATTCTTATGTTGAAACCTGATCCCCAATATAATGGTATTTGGAAGTCTGTCCTTTGGCAGGTGATTAGGTCATGAAGGCATTATCTAATCCATTGAATCACAGGGCACCCTGTGAGGACACAGCAAAGATGATGGCCCCTGAAGCCCTGGACAAGGACCCTCATCTGACACAGAAACTGCCAGCACTTTGATCTTACAGCCCCAGCCTCCAACTATGAGAAAATTCATCCCAACTGTCTACCAGTCACCTCATCCATGGTATTTATGTAACAGCAGCCCATATACACTAAGACAACTTAAGTCTGGAAAATTTGCTTAACCAAAACTCAAGCAGGAGCAGTGTGAAGATGTGGGGGCTAGGATAACTGGTAGTAGGGGCCTCTGTCCCATTCTAGGGCCATGGGGGACAGTGGATACCAGGCTGTGTGGACAGGTCTCCAACAAGAGCCAGGCCAGCTGCTGAGGCATACAGCTTGCCCGTACCCATCCCACAGACAGTCACTCTCATTCCTCCCTAAACTTTCATGCTGATGTCCCATGCCACCCACACCCTCAGGGAAGCAGAGAGCAAAGGAATCTGTATCAGCCAGCACTCCAGTGCAAGAGAAGGTGGGGATGGTTGAGGAGAATATATCACAGGGCTGTTTTCACCTCCAGCCCCTGACCTCCTAATCTGCTTCTTAATTAGTGGCCCACAGTCAGATTCACTTCTGTTCCACTCACTACGAACTCCAGAGCTGGAAACAGTTTCCATTTATTACAGTTTGGTAGGTTCCAAATATGTTCTAGGGCAAGAAGTATCCTTACCCCAGTTTAAAACTGAGGAGCTCAAGTCATCCCTCCAACAAATTATGGCAAAGTCTCAGCTTCTCCAGCTGCCTGGGTCCTGGAATTACAGATGAGGAATTCGAGAAGCCTCACCCCAATAAGGCACGATTGAAATGAACTCAGTGGACATAGACTGAGAAGATGCTGCTCATTCATTCTTTGCTTCATCCACTTGCTAAACATCTGTTGAGTTGTTGGCCAGCAAATGAGTCTCTTGCTTACAAAGCCAGGGAAGGGAAGCACCTAACAGAGGATCTCTCAGTGGTAAGAGATGATGCCTTGAAGGGCTGAGGATATGCTTGGGACTGCAACAGCCTCACAGGTCCCAGAAAGAGAGGTTGCTCAAATGTCTGTTGGGCTGAGGGAACCTGTTAGCCACTGGCATTGCCCACACTAGTTGCTCCACAAAGCCACCATTTTGGAAATGCTCAGAGCTGGCTGTGCCTTCTCAGGATTGACTATCGGAGCTGCCCACTGAGCCCTGGGAAGGTGGTTGTGAACAAGGTGGAGAAGAGAGTCAGTCATTCTTGTCAGGTGGCATTTTCCCTTGACCACTGTACAAACACCCTTGTCCCAGACAGTCTGGATGCTAATAACACTCCGAACTCATTCTGAACCACCCAGGACCTCCTTCCCAAATCTTCCTGCTGTCATTTTGTTTATTGATTTGTGATTTTCAAGAAAAGTTTGTGGGTGCCTACAAATTTCTATTCCCAGAACCACAGGCTGGCTTTCATGAGCCCAGGCCCTCTTGCCTGCAGCGTCTCTGCCTCCAAAGCACAGTCAAATGGGGGAATCAGAACTAGCCCTCACTGTAGGCCCCTGATAGCAAAGACTTTGCAGCTGGAAAAACTTGTATTCCAGTCCAACTTCAGCCTAAGGCCACATGACATTAGCTAAATCAATGATGCCCCTAATCCAGCTCCTTCATACAGCAAGTATTCTCAGTTATCTTACCCTGTGTGCCCAAAGAAAGTCAGCATGACCCATGGCTTCCTGGATCAAACCAAGCCTACCTGACCTCCGGAATTTATATTGATAGAGGCAGTGCATTCTCTATCTGACTGAGACCCATTCGAGTTGGTTCGGTGTCTCAATGCAGAAACTATTGTCCATACTGTGAACCTGGACATGGCAGGGTTAGGTCAGCCTCAGCCTCTGCGTCACTGCCTTGCAACTCAGTTTTCCCTCATGTCCCCTGACTCTCCAAATGTTGCTTTGGAAGCCTGATTCCAGTACTCTGTGTTGTCATCATCTGTCACCAGGTACCTTGGGAGACCCCTGCACTACTATCCTAAGACTCTAACACAGCCAGTCACGACTCAGCTGCAAGGCTGAGAACAGCAGGAAAGGAGCCAGCAGGTGCCATAGAGGAGAAAAGTGACATCAGTTTTTCCAACACCTACCAGCAGTGTGGAGCCAGTGCCCCACCCTCTGAGTCAGATTGGAAAAGGTTCCTGAGGCTGGATATTCCCAAGTCCAAGTCTCAGAAAATACTGTTGTCCAGAGACTGGAGAAGCCTGAGCAGCCAGAACTCTCCCTCAGGGTCCCCTGAGCTCTTCCACACTTGTCCACTCTCGCTCCCACTGAAGAATGTCAGATTTTTCCCAATAATGAACATGGCAGAAACACCACTTACAATATCACCGCCCAGTATAATTCTCATGATGTTCTTCCTTGTAATGTCAGAAAAATGCACACTGGTCTTCTAGAATCTGGAGCAAAAAATTGGCAACTTTGACACATTCCTGAGTCCATACAATGCCCCTACCTCACACCACATCCTCGCCCATGGAGAACCCACAAGAGACAGAGTCCTTGCCTTATCCCGGAAGTGTAAAGCGGGCAGCTCACAAGCTGTTAATGAAGCGGACCGTGGCGTCCAGGATCTTCCAGGCACAGGGGAAGCTGAAGAAGGGCATGTCCAAGCAGGACAGCGCCCCGTGGAAGCCATCGTCCAAGTGGTGCCAGGTCACCGGGACACCCAGGTCCTCCAGTCTCTTCTTGTACAGCAGCGAGTGGTCCCGGAGAAGGTCGTGCTCACAGCTGACAATGCAGGTTTCCGGGAGCCGCGACACCACGTCATCAGAGGCGATCAGGGGTGAGACCATCTCGTCCAGGGCCAGGAGGCACTCCTGGTAGGCATCCTCATTCAGGGGCCCAGGGGTCTTCGGCTGGTACCCCCTCTGCTTAAACCTCTCAGGGATGTTGTCTGGGCTCAGCCACTTCTGATACTTTGCCCACACTGCAGGGGGCATGTGCGCATTTTGCAGGATGATGCTCTTCCAGGCGGGGTTGATGCTCAGGTAGCTGCTCAAACAGAGGAAAGCGAAGTCCAGGCTGAGCAACGGGACATTCCTGTTCTGCTGATACGAGGGGCACTGGAAATCAATACCTTGGAGGCCAGGGTAGATGAGCACCTGGGCGCGGATCTTCGGTAGATCTGGATAGTCCAAGAGGCTTTGACAGATTACGGCTGCCATCCCTCCTCCTGCGCTGTCACCATAGACGACCACACGGGCCGGATCCACCCCGTACAGCTTCAGGGACTTCAGGAAGTGGATGGTGGCGCAGATGGAATCTCTCACCAGCACCGGAAACCTACACTCAGGTACCAGGCGGTACCTAAAGAGCATCCAGGACGACAGTTTACATGCTGCGCAGCAGAGCCCAACACCCGTGTCTGCCACCTTCACCCCGGTGCCCTCCCATGGCCCTGCTAGCCCTGTGGAGCCTGACCCTGCGGGCGAGGGAGAGGCTGGATGAGGCTGCA